GTGTCTTGTAAGTAGGGGAAGTGTTAGGTAAATAAGGAGAGTGTCGGGTAAGTAACATAGGTAATAGGTAAATAGGGGAAATGTCAGGTAGGGAAAGCGTTAGGAAATTAGGGCAAGATTTAGGTAACTAGGCCAAGTCTCGAGTAAGTAGGGAAATTCTCGTTCTCTGCTGTAATCACGTTACCGATTTAGTCACTATTTTGTTACCCCTCCCCCGAAAAACAAAGAATCCTCCACGTATTCATGGAAGGTGAGAGCGTCAGACAGACAGGAAAGGGGACTGTGGCCCCTGCTCCCCCCTATTAGGGGGGGACTGCCATACCACATCCCCGCCCAGGAAAACAAATAATCCTCTACGTATTCACGGCTGGAGAGAGCGTCGGACAAAGTCGACATCGGGCTCTTCCACATGTCCTTCGTACGCACGCGAAGCACTGTACATCTAGTCACTTCAGTGAAAATTAACTTAAAACATACCTGTGCAGAGGGGAGGCCGGGGTGAGGGTCCTCGATATCAGTGGAGGAGCTTGCGGGAGCGCCAGAGAGTACGAGCGACGCGACGGCGGGTCGCAAGGCACTTCAGAGGTAGCACTCCGTGTTCCCGTTATAGTTTCAAGCTAGCCTCATCGTCTTCAAAATCAATTTTTATAACTTGGAATGGTTTGATATGTATAGGAAGTGTTAGGTAAGTAAAACAAGTGTCAGGTAAGAAGGGGAAGTGTCAGGTAAGTAAGGCAAGTGTCAGGTAAGTAGGGCAAGTGTCAGGTAAGTAGGGCAAGCGTCAGGTAAGTAGAGAAGGTGTCAGGTATGTAAGAAAAGTCTCAGGTAAGTAATGCAAGTTTTAGGTATATACGCGAAATGCCAGCTACGCAAAGGAAGTGTCAGATAAGTAGAAGCGTGTCAGGTAAGAAAGGCAAGTGTCAGGTAAATAGGGCCAGCGTCAGGTAAGTAGGGCAAGTGTCAGGTAAACAGAGGAAGTGTCAGGTAAGTGCGACAAATGTCAGGAAAGTAAGGTAGGAAGGGGAAATTTCAGGTAAGTAGGTGAAGTGTCAGGTAAGTAAGACAAGTGTCACGTAAGTAAGGTAAGAAGGGCAAGTGTCGGGCAGGTACAAGTGTCAGGTAAGTAAGGCAAGTGTCACGTAAGGCAAGTGCCAAGTAAGTATGGGAAGTGCCAGGAAAGTAGGGCAAATGTCGGGTAAGGTAAGTATCAGGTAAGTAGGGAAAGTGTCATAAGTAGGGCAATTGTCACGTAAGTATGGGAAGTGCCAGGTAAGTAGGGCAAATGTCGGATAAGGTAAGTATCAGGTAAGTAAGGAAAATGTCATTTATGTAAAGTTTCAGGTAAGTAAGGCATGTGTCAGGTAAATAAGGTGAGAAGGGAAAGTGTCGAATAAGTAGAGGAATTGTCACGTAATCAAGGCAAGTATCAGGTAAGTAGAGGGATGCTAGGTAAGTAAGGCAAGTGTCAGGTATGTAAGGCCAGTGTCGGGTAAGTAAGGGAAGTGTCAGGTAAGTAGGGGGTGTCGAGTAAATAGGGCAAATATAAGGTAAGCAAGATAAGGCTTAGTTAAATAAGGCAAGTGTCGGGTAGGTAGGGGAAATGAAAGGTACGTAAGGCAAGTGTCATGTAAGTAGGGGAAGTGTTAGATAAGTAGGAGAATTGCCAGGTAAGTAAGGCAAGTGTTAGGTATGTACGGGAAGTGTCAGGTAAGTAGGGGAAGTATGAGGTAAGTAAGGCAAGTGTCAGGTAAGTAGGGCAAGTGTTAGGTAAGTAAAGCAAGTGTCAGGTAAGTAGGGGAAGTATCAGGTAAGTAGAAGTGTCAGATAAGTAGGGGGAAGTGTCAGGTAAGTAAGGAAGTGTCAGGTAAGTAGGGCAAGTGTCAGGTAAGTAAGGAAAGCGTCAGTAAGTAGGGGAAGTATCAGGTAAGTAGGGGGAGTGTAAGGTAAGTAATATAAGTGTTAGGTAAGTAAGGCAAGTGTCTGGTAAGTAGGGCAAGTGTCATGTAAGTAAGGGAACTGTCAGGTAAGTAGGGGAAGTGTCATTTAAGTAGGGCAAGGGTCAGTTAAGTAGGGCAAGTGTCAGGTAAGTAAGGAAAGTGTCAGTAAGTAGGGGAAGTGTCGGATAAGTATAGGAAGTGTCAAGTAAGTAAGGTAAATGTCAGATAAGTAGGTGAAGTGTCATTTAAGTAGGACAAGTGTCAGGTGAGTAAGGGAAGTGTCACTTAAGTACGGGAAGTGTCAGGTAAGTAAGGGAAGTGTCAGGTAAGTAAGGGAAGTGTCGGACAAGTGGGGGAAGTGTCGGGTAATTAAAGCGGTAAATTTAGGGGAAAAAAAGTCACGTACACTTTTCGTGACGAAACTAGATTCGTTTGATTTCTATTGTTTTGGTTAGTTTGATTCTGGTAAGGAACGTGTAAGGTAAGTGTCAGGTAAGTAGGGGGGAGTGCCAGCTAAGTGTCATGTAAGTAGGACAAGTGTCAGGTAAGTAGTGAAAGAGTCGGGTAATTAGGGCGTGTCATGTAAGGTAACTGTTAGGTAAGTAGTGAAGTGTCATTTAAGTAGGGCAAGTGTCAGGTAAGTAGGGGAAGTGTTAGGTAAGTAAGGCAAGTGTCAGGTAAGTAGGGGAAGTGTCAGGTAAGTAGGGCAAGTGTCAGTAGGTAGGGGAAGTGTCAAGTAAGTAAGGGACGTGTCAGTTAAGTAGGTGAAGTGTCATTTAAGTAGGACAAGGGTCAGGTAAGTAGGGGAAGTGTCAGGTAAAAAAGGGAAGTGTCAGGTAAGTAAGGAAAGTGTCAGTAAGTAGTGAAGTGTCAGATAAGTAGAGGAAGTGTCAACTAAGTAAGGGACGTATCAGTTAAGTAGGTGAAGTGTCATTTAAGTAGGACAAGGGTCAGGTAAGAAGGGAAAGTGTCAGGTAAGTAAGGGAAGTGTCATTTAAGTAGGGCAAGTGTCAGGTAAGTAGGGCAAGTGTCAGGTAAGTAGGCCAAATGTCAGGTAAGTATGGGAAGTGTCAGGTAAGTAGGGCAAGTGTCGGGTAAGTAGAGCAAGTGTCAGGTAAGTAAGGGAAATGTCAGGTAAGTAGGGGAAGTGTCAGGTAAGTAGGTGAACTGTCAGGTAAGCAGGGGAAGTATCAGGTAAGCAAGGCAAGTGTCTGGTAAGTAGGGCAAGTGTTAGGTAAGTAAGGCAAGTGTCAGCTAAGTAGGGAAAGTGTCAAGTAAGTATTTAAAGTGTCAGTAAGTAGGGGAAGTGTCAGATAAGAAGGGGAAGTGTCAAGTAAGTAAGGGACGTGTCAGTTAAGTAGGTGAAGTGTCATTTAAGTGGTCAGTCGTTTTCAATAAGTAGGTGAAGTGTCATTTAAGTAGGGTAAGGTTCAGGTTCAGTAGGGGAAGTGTCAGGTAAGTAAGGGAAGTGTCAGTTAAGTAGAGGAAGTGTCAGGTAATTAAAGCGGTAAATTTAGGAAAAGAAGTTACGAACACTTTTCGGGACGAAACTAGATTCGTTCGATTTCTATTGTTTTGGTTAGTTTGATTCTGGCAAGGAAAGTGTAAGGCAAGTGTCAAGTAAGGGGGAGTGTCAGCTAATTTAGATAAGTGTCATGTAAGTAGGACAAGTGTCAGGTAAGTAGGAAAAGTGTCAGGTAAGTAGTGCAAGTGTTAGGTAAGTAGGGCAAATGTCAAGTAAGTAGGGGAAGTGTCAGGTAAAAAGGGGAAGTGTTAGGTAAGTAGAGCAAGTGTTAGGTAAGGCATGTGTCAGTAAGTAGGGCATGTGTCAGGTAAGTAGGGCAGTGTCAAGTAGGACGTGTCATGTAAGTAAGGGAAACGTCAGGTAAGTAGGGGAAGTGTCATTTAAGTAGGGCAAGGGTCAGGTAAGTAGGGGAAGTGTCAGGTAAGTACGGCAAGTGTCAGGTAAGTATGGTGAGTGTCATGTAAGTAAGGGAACTGTTAGGTAAGTAGTGAAGTGTCATTTAAGTAGGGCAAGAGTTAGGTAAGTAAAGCAAGTGTCAGGTAAGTAGGGCAAGTATCAGGTAAGTAGGGGAAGTGTCAGGTAAGTAGGGGAAGTGTCAGGTAAGTAAGGAAAGTGTCAGTAAGTAGGGGAAGTGTCAAGTAAGTAAGGGACGCGTCAGTTAACTAGATGAAGTGTCATTTAAATAGGACAAGGGTCTGGTAAGTAGGGGAAGTGTCAGGTAAGTAAGGGAAGTGTCAGATAAGTAAGTGTCAGGTAAGTAAGGGAAGTGTCGGATAAGTAGGTGAAGTGTCATTTAAGTAGGGCAAGGTTTAGGTAAGTAGGAAAACTGTAAGGTAAGTGTCAGTTAAGTAGAGGAAGTTTCAGTTAAGTGCGGGAAGTGTCAGGTAATTAAAGCGGTAAATTTAGGAAAAGAAGTCACGAACACTTTTCGGTACGAAACTAGATTCGTTCGATTTCTATTGTTTTGGTTAGTTTGATTCTGGCAAAGAAAGTTTAAGGCAAAGCAATTAGATAAGTGTATGTAAGTAGGACAAGTGTCAGGTAAGTAGCAAGTGTCATTAAGCTAGGGCAAGTGTCAGGTAAGTAGTGCAAGTGTCAGGTAAGCAGGGCAAGTGTCAGGTAAGTAGGGCAAATGTCAGGTAGTAAGAAATGCAGGTAAGTAGAGCAAGTGTCAGGTAGTAGAGCAAGTGTCCGGGTAAGTAGGGCAAGGGTCAGTGAGCAGGGCAAATGTTAAGTAGTAAGGCAAGTGCCACGTAAGTGTGAGCAAGTGTCAGGTAAGTAGGGTAGGGTAAGTAGGGGTGTCAGGTAAGTAACAGGAAAGGGGTGTCAGGTAAGTAAGTCAGGTAAGTAAGGAAAGTATTGGATAAGTAGGTGAAGTGTCATTTAAGTAGGGCAAGGTTCAGGTAAGTAGGGAAAGTGTAAGTTAAGTAGAGGAAGTGTCAGTTAAGTGGGGGAAGTGTCATGTAATTAAAGCGGTAAATTTAGGAAAAGAAGTCACGAACACCTTTCAGTACGAAACTAGATTTCTATTGTTTTGGTTAGTTTGATTCTGTAAGGAAAGTGTCAGGTAGTAGGGGGAGTGTCAGCTAAGTTAGATAAGTGTCATGTAAGTAGGACAAGTGTCAGGTAAGTAGGGCAAATGTCAGGTAAGTAGGGGAAGTGTCAGGTAAGTAGGGCAAGTGTCAGGTAAGCAAGGCAAGTGTCTGGTAAGTAGGGCAAGTGTTAGGTAAGTAAGGCAAGTGTCAGTTAAGTAGGGAAAGTGTCAGGTAAGTAGGGCAAGTGTCAGTAAGTAGGGCAAGTGTCAGATAAGAAGGGGAAGTGTCAAGTAAGTAAGGGACGTGTCAGTTAAGTAGGCAAAGTGTCATTTAAGTAGGACAAGGGTCTGGTAAGTAGGGGAAGTGTCAGGTAAGTAAGGGAAGTGTCAGTTAAGTAGTGGAAGTGTCAGGTAAGTAGGGCAAGTGTCAGGTAAGTAAGGGATGTGTCGGATAAGTAGGTGAAGTGTCATTTAAGTAGGGTAAGGTTCAGGTAAGTAGGGGAAATGTCAGGTAAGTAAGCGAAGTGTCAGCTAAGTAGGGGAAGTGTCAGGTAAGTAAGGGAAGTGTCAGGTAAGTAGGGTAAGTGTCAGTTAAGTAGAGGAAGTTTCAGTTAAGTGCGGGAAGTGTCAGGTAATTAAAGCGGTAAATTTAGGAAAAGAAGTCACGAACACTTTTCGGCACGAAACTAGATTCTGTGATTTTCTATTGTTTTGTTAGTTTGAATTCTGGCTGGAAGTGAAGCAAGTGTCAGGTAAGTAAGGGGGAGTGTCGTAGTACATAAGTGTCATGTAAGTAGGACAAGTGTCAGTAAGATAGGCCAAGTGTCAGGTAAGTAGGGCAAGTGTCGGGTAATTGGGGTTTGTGTTATGTAAGCAGGGCAAGTGTTAGGTAAGTAAGAGGCAAGTGCCAGGTTTAATGTAGGGCAAGTGTCAGGAAAAGTAGGGCAAGTGGTCAGGTAGCAGGGCAAAATGCTAGGTAAGTAAGGCAAGTCACCAGGTCTATGTAAGTGTCAGGTAAAGTAGTGGAAGTGTAGGTAAAGTAGGGTCAGGGTCAGTTAAGTAAGGTAAAGTGTCAGGTAAGAAGTGCAAGTGTCAGGTAAGTAGAGGAAGTGTCAGGTAAGCAGGCCAAATGTTAGGTAAGTAAGGCAAGTGCCAGGTATGTAGGGCAAGTGTCGCGTAAGTAGGGCGTGTCATAATAAGGCAAGTGTTAGGTAAGTAAAGGAAGTGTCAGTTAAGTAGGGGAAGTGTGTCATTAAGTAGGGCAAGGTTCAGGGTAAGTAGGGAAAAGTGTAAG